TGGCGTAGGGTGGTCGGGGAAAAAGAAAAGAGGATTGACGACGAAACGATTGCGATGAAAAGGTTCGAAACCGTGCAGCAAGACGCAGTTCGAGTGCAGCCCAGGCGAGTGCATACCGAGGAGCTGGCTGTGCGACATACAGCTCGACTGCATAAACGGATTTGACGAGAGGAATTGCAGTAAGTTATCGATGCGCGGCCAGTGGCGGCGTCAGGCCGCGTCCAGACAGCTGTTCGCGAGCAGTTTGCCATGGCGTAGGCCGAGGCGAATTGGATCGCAATGTGAATCGGATCGAAACAAGAATTCAATCTACATTTGTCATATGGCGAATTAGATATAATTTTCATCTGCCACTTGAAAAATTTACAGCAAAAATTAATCTCGATTTGGGTAGAAAGAAGTCCCGAAAATCATTATTATTAATGTCTGAGGCTTGATATTTCTTGACTGTCCAAAAAAAGACGATCCGATAATCCTCGGTCTACCCTATATATTTGCCGACAGTTTGAACAGTTTTGCGAACAGCAAGCAAAGGATTCGTCCTTGAATGACGAACAGTGTTCGCTCGACAGATGGTACACATATCAGCAGATGTTTTTAGCTAGAAACATATCTGGACTAGAGGTGTGTGGGTACAAGAGATTTCGGGTATGAATCTGGTTGAAACTGAGCTAGTTCAGATGGGTACCCGGGCAGTTTGAAATTTTCGGGTATTCCGATATCTTCGGATAATCCGACATTTGTGGGTATCTTAACGTCAATATCGTGTTATCATCAGTTCATTTCATATAATAATATCTATAATTATACGAAATATTTATAAAATATTTATACTATAGATATTATTAACAGTAAAATACCTGAAATATCGGATTACCTGAAGATATCTGATTACTCGAACATTTTGGGTTGCCTGGGTACTCGTATATTTTAACCTTTAAACCGCTTGATTTTTTAATTCCCATCTCGAATTCTCTGGTACTCACGATTTCAGGTACCCACACACCCTAAATCTACACTGTAATACCCAGCTTCGAGCAAACAAGTCAACAACTTGCGATCAACCTTATAGCTAGTTCTAGTGCAAATGCAATACTGTTTCTCTCGGCGGGTACCTTGCGAGTAGCTCGCGGACAGTTCACTTCAGTTTGGACCAGGCCTTAGAAGTCTCTGTAGATCGATTGTCGGGCCAGGAAGGGCAAGGACTAGGTCACCGGAAAGAAGCGAAAGCCTGTGAAAGCTACGGAAACGGCCGGCGCAAACGGCGCGAAGGATTATTAGGGAGATGCTCTTTTCTCTCTTCCTCTCTCCTCCAGGGCACTCGGAATCGCAAATTGCATCCCCTAACCGGTGGACCCGTTTCCCATCGGGGCGGAATTGCGAGTCAGCCACCGGAAGAAAATAAATTACTGGGAAAGTAAATATCGGCCGTCGAAATCCGCGAGGTGACTCGCACAACCGCTTCGTCGTCTTGGGACGGAAAAGACTACGCGGAGACGCTGGCTAATTTTCTTTTTCAAATTCTTCTTTGTCCTTTTTATTTTTATTTTTTTCTTTCTTTAGTATTTCGTTTGTTTTTATTAGGCTGAATGAGCTGAGTTTATTTTCCGTTGGAATGTTAAATAATTTTCTCTCAGACTTTTCTTTCTCTTCTTTTTACTTTTTGTTTGTTTATTGTTTGTTTGGTCTCTCTTATTCGAGACGGAAAATAATTTTCGAATATATCGAATTTTAATTTACCTCCAAATTTCTTTTATTTGTTTATCAGCTCTCTATACTCTAGAAATATGTTATCCTTTTCCCCCGAAACGTAAAGTAATTTTCTTCCAAATTCCTTTTTATTATTCATTTTGTTGCCCTCCCTTTTTAATTTTCTTTATTAAATTTTTTTTGCAAAAGACAATAAAATTTTCTTCGAAATTTTTCTTTCTCTCTGTATTTATTTGATTTTTCATTCGTTCGTTGACTTTTCCCAGTGAAATCACGGAGTAGCTGTGCCACCGGTGAGACGTGTCTCGTTGATTCGGAGATAATTTACCGGGTGTGTCATTAGATCGATTCGCGTGACCAGAATGTTTGGGGAACGTGTCTCGGGTCGGTTGACGGTGTTAATGCTTGCGAAATTTATGGGTTTCCTTCGGAATGGCTGCCGACGTTGCGTGAGCGTGACGACGGAAAATTGAGAGTCTTTTTAAAAGTACATAAGCGGTTTTTAGTATCCTCAACTTATTTGGATCCCGGTGCTGCCACGTTGATTTCTCTCCGTTCTTTTTTCTAATGACCCGAAAGTATTCTTATTCGTTCCCCCAGTAGAAATGTTTCTTTGAATGAGAGTAAACGCGAGCGACGCGCTCTCAGAGAATGTTTATTGCATCATGCGAATCCGCTTATCATTGGCGAGTACAATTTTCTTAGCTTTTCAATTGTCAACCTCCAAACTGTCCGTGTCATAAACATATCACATGAGTAATATTAATCCTTTGCACTCGAGAGGTAATTCTCAATCACCACTTGATTCAATATATCAAAATTACAATGTTTTATACAGGGTGTAACAAAGTTATTGCGCACAAATGATAGGGCGTGTACAACTCACTAAACTGAGTAAAAAACTCTAGCGAGCAGGAGTCCAAAATTCAATAGTTTCCGAGATAAAAGTAGATTTAGTTTAAATAAAATGTACGGTGACCGAATAAAGAACACCGAATTTCAAACAAAAGTTACAGGGTATGAAATGCTACATATCAGAATGAAAGATATTCGACCGTGACATGACTTTGAAATGTCCTGCAGAGGTCACGTCACAATTTTTAAATAGAATCCCATATTTTCTATTATATATTTTTGAACAGACATTCAGACGTTTCCAAACCATAAACATGAAATTCTTTGTATAAGTCGTTATCAAAATATCAGCATCCAAAGTTGCCGGTTTGTCAGTAGTAATGGTGGCCTACGGACAGTGCGCCTGTCATGGAAGACTAAAGGAACACAATATCCACGGTCCTTGTTTGTTACACGTATGGATTTTCGTCTGAAAATGTGACTGCCATCGTTTATCGATCGGGCCACGCACTCACAGCTGAGAATGCAGTCATCGCACTCTCTACCTTCCTTTACTCTCCCATGCGTTCTTATAGGAGTCAACGTTTCACTTGATCCACCGCATTTCAAGGTCGAATCACTACAGAGAATCTGCCGAAACTGACGCATCATGGTTGCTCAAACGAGCAAGTTAGGAGTCGGACTGTCAGTAGGCTACCATCGCTACTGACAAACCGGCAACTTTGGATGCTGATATCTTGATAATAGGTTCTGCGAAAAATTTCATGTCTATGGTTTGGAAACGTCTGAATGTCTGCTTCAAAAATATATAATAGAAAATATGGAATTCTATTTAAAAATTGTGACGTGATCTCTGCAGGACGTTTCAAAGTCATGTCACGGTCGAATACCTTTCATTCTGATATGTAGCATTTCATACCCTGTAACTTTTGTTTGAAATCCAGCATTCTTGATTCGGTCACCATACATTCTTTTTTTAAACTAAACCTATTTTTATCTCGGAAACTATTGAATTTTGGACCCCTGCTCGCTAAGAGTTTTTTACTCAGTTTAGTGAGTTGTACACGTCCTATCATTTGTGAGCAACAATTTTGTTACACCCTGTATATAATATTATATTTTATATAATGCATCAATACGAGAAATATTGAAATAAAATAGCTTTGTTTCTTAATTTATGTACGTTTTCTTATTAGTTAGTTTTAAAGAATGTTATCTGTGCCTCATCGCAAAATGTTTAATATTTTTATTGAAAAAGTTTGGAGTAGAAAGAGTTAATATCAATTAAATGTTACATAAATCATGTTATAAATAAACTGTTTATTTTGAAAGCGGTTTAAGTGTATTAAAAAGAAAACGTTTAAAAATAAAGGGACAATATAAAATCGTAACTATTACATTCAGAAACTTGAATTTTTGAAAAATGTATTTAAGCTACATTACAAAATACACGGCTCGAACATATGACATGAAGGAAGCTTGAATTTTTCAGGAATTTTTTTCTTATTACTGTTTGGTCTCTTTTCAATTACGAATAACGATTTCCAATATTTTTCGTGCGTAATTGAAAAAAATGAAAAATGTACGACAGGTATATCGTTGTACCAACAAGAGATCAATTTAATTGGTTTTTTCTTTGAGTATTCAATGAAAAATAATTTCCCTGTCTTTCTATTTCGTTTCCTCTTTGATTACACTTTTTAATGATTCCAATGTCGTTGGTTAATTGTATTAGGATTATTTTTGCAATTGCTGTTAGTCTCCTGTAATTAATTGACAGAATGTCAAGTAGTTGAGTCATCGAATTAGGACACACTGCGTTTGTATAATGCAACGATACGAGCCACTTTCTGGACCGTTAATATATACATTGATTACCCAAATGCGAATAATATCTAATAATATTTCAACTTATTTCAAAATATTTCAGAACATCTCAAACAACAATATAACAATATATTAATGTTTATATAATGTTTATTAAACAATTTGTAATATATAATCATAATACTAATGGTAATAATTTTTCACTACCAATTATTACTGAACAAACCGTACGAACTAGAATATTACACGTAATACGCAAATGATGCAATAAATATTCAGATTCGTCGATTTCATTCCTCAGGTAAATGGATTTACCAAAAACGTATCCATCAGCAACGTAACATCAGAATATCGTAACTACCAGTTTCCTATTCCATGACAATTATTCCTGCGCGAAAGCGTGCCGAAAGGAGGAGAAACAGAAAAAGTAACCGGCGACGAGTGCAATTGACCCTGGGGATGCAATTTGCGAGTCCTCGAGACAGCTCTCGGACGAAAATAGATCAGTGGCGAACGATGTGTGCATCGTGGGCGTTGTCGTGGCGCCTGACGTCATGGTTCATCGTAACAATTGTCAAATTTTCATGAATCATTTGTCGTCTTTGTAGGAACGAAGACTTGCACGACGGAACAATTCACATGTCACTCGGGTAACGGCGAGTGCGTGGCGCTCACATGGATGTGTGACGGCACGCCGGACTGTACGGACGGATCAGATGAGAGTGAATGCAGTAAGCTTATGCGGAGACTTTTTTCACGCTTCTCTCGCTATTTCTTATTTTCTTTTAATACGATCGCAGCGACGGTCGCCGGTGACCGGCAGTGAAATTTTCGATTATCTCGTCTGCCATCGGGAACCGTTGCCGAGCTGCTTTCATTGGTCGTTATTAATCGTCGCCAAGCTTATCGCAGCGACGGTCATCGATGACCAGCGCTGAAATTTTGTTGAATTGGTCACCGCTGATCGTCGTTGAGATTTTTTCATTAGCCATTAGTAATCGTCACCAAGCCTTTCGTTTACCTTGCATGCACCCTTATCCAGCTTTTCTTCTAAACCTATTCAGACAAATTGGTTGAAGTGAACTAAAGTAAAGGTGAGGTAAAGATAAAGGTAACATTAGTTTTAGAAACATACCTATCGTAATCATGTGTCTTTTGGTTTCATTCGAATTAGAAATAAAGAATTTACGGAAAAAATGTTTATTTATTTGAGATTATTTTGAGGTGGTCACATTAACAGTAAAGTCATTAATGGTCTCCAATAATTGAATACGTAATTGTTCATTGCATAATGATACATAAATAATTATATGGCCATATAAATAATTAGTGTATAGTTTACAAAGTAGACAAATAGTATTTACAGAATATACAACTTATAGAATAAACTAGTCGCACAGTAGGTACACAATTTACAGAATTCTTAATTATAACGAAATTAATACGTTTATCTGATTGAGAAACTTTAATATATACGTAATAGAACAAAAGTATCGTAATACTGAAAGGTAATACTAATAATAATAAATTATAATACTAATAGTAAGAATAATAAAAGGATAAAAGCGGAAATCTCGGTTGTTAATGTAAGAATGAACTGTCCTTCACGTGTATCTATTTACAGTCGGTGGACTCGAATCGCCGTAGTAGCTTCGCTTTCCGTCACGTTGATCGCCAAGTAACCAGCTAACGTTGAATCCGCAGCGGAAAGCTGATGATTAAGGTTGGATTTTCACGCGAATTCACAGCTTCAGCGCGTTTACTGCTCGACAAACACTCGTAAATCTCTGTAAGCGTGAAACCGTGTGCTGCAAAAAAAATGAAGGACAGAAAAATCATATGCTGGATGTTCTATTGTTGTTAGCTTTTTTCTTCTGCACACCGAATAAATGAAAAAATTGAAAAGGAAAACGGTTTTATCGTTTCTGTTTGAACATATAAAGTCCCATTCAAAAAATTCAAAGTTTCTCCACTGCTTCTATAAAAACATTCCGAACAGTAATAGTTAACACGCGTTACCATGAACTGCATTGAAACTGCTTTTTCTTCTTATTGTTTCTTCGTATTTCCCATTTATGAAAGAAAAGTCAGCTGGTAATAACACGAGCAACCTCATGAAAGTCAAGATTTATCGTGGCGAGCACGTTGTTTCGAAATTGAAAAGCAACCGAGTTATTTAGCTGCAAACAGTATTAATATTTACAAGATCGTGATCTGAAAATAATATTTTCCTAATTCTTCTTGTTGAAACTATTTTATTTTTACAGAATTGAAAGAAGAAACGAAAGAAAGAATATTCTACCCACCATCTTGAGAAAATAGCGAATCTATTCTCAGAATTTCTTTCAAATTTTGTTTCAAATAACATTTTTGAATAATAAAATATTTTCTACAAATTTATCATGAAACTAATGCTTAACGAGTCTTCCGCGAAAATAACGTTTGTAATTTGTTCGGTCGCACAAATCGTACACGAGCTGCCATGTTAAAATGAGGCGCCAATTAGAATTTGTTTCAATTTACGAAGACAATTAACGTATTACGAAATTTCAACGACTCGTTTTATGTATATTTACAAACGCGTGCTTAAAAGACCGCAATGCTGTTTTCAAAAGTCGCGAAGCTTGCTCGCAATAATTTCTGCTCTCCGTTCTACGAAATTTTGTAAGAATTATCAATTACATTTGGTCGCCAACGTGTCCAAGGTATTAACAACTGTCAACAATTACGTTGATTAGCTTTTATTATTTTATAGAAACTACAAACATTCATTTATCGAGACCGGGACCGACTAATATTTTAATTTGTTTATTACTATGTCTAAGTTTAATTCGAAAATTTCCTAGAAAACCATTACTTCCATAATTACGAAAAAAGAAATCATGAATAAGCTAATTTTGATTTGTCCAGTAATTTTAGTGTAAAAAAGGAGATCAAAAACCGAAGAGCATTTTATAAATTATCTTAATACCTGGACCGAAGCACTACGGTTCAATCTATTTTCAATGGATTGTTAAACTCGGAACGAACCGTAACAAAGTTGAATCGCCAATAACAAGTTGAGTTCCCCATTTATCAGCGCTTTATCGCACTTTATTAATCATGTAACAAGGTCTTCGCCCCGTTAGTTAAGAGTTAATACGCGATCAATTTAATAACGAACGCGCTAGCTGTTAATTGAAAGGCTTGCAGCACTTCGAATATCTCTTCGCCTTTTATAACATTTAACGTGAAATGTGATTACAACTATTTAAAAAGCATGCTCCCGCTTCGTAACTGTTTTAATTAGAAAGTTCGACGTCGTTATCGATTTCGGACCGCTAGATTGCGCATGTGTTTCTCAGTGCGTGATAGAGAAATTGGGAAAAACCACTTCAATAATACTTCTCGTCGAGCCTTAATTAAAAAGTTCCTGAAACGCGCAAGAGGATTTTCGAACGGCGCCGGAAAAGTTCCGAAAATGCAACTGTTCTAATTAGAAAAACGAAAAAATGCAAATTGACCTGTTACAAAAACACGAATCAGCGAGCCGGATAAATTTCAGTTAAATATTTGTTCGAAGCTTTACTTAAAGTTAACTTAAACAACCTCGGTCGATTAATTCTGAAAACAAACAAAATATAAAATCGAAAAAGCTTCGATCAAAAAACTGCGAATGCAAGTCGAAACGTTACAAGACAAGACATTTAAACGAGAAATCAAACAAAATTTAACAGGGAGTGCGGAAAAAGGGGTAATTCTATATGAAAAAATATATGGAAGAAAAGAAATATAATGTTCTCATTTATATCTTCAATTTCAATAAAATCCAGTTTGAAAATTATATTCATATACTTCAACATTCATTTATTCGGAAATAAATTCCAATGCAAGATACCATTCCACATTTTCGATTCATTTTTCCATCTACTATAACCTCACAATTCTTTCATTCTACCCAATCAACGCTCCATATATTAAAAAGCTATTCAAACTCGATTTTTAATAAAGCCTTAGTCCCTTGAATAAAACCGGCGAGCCACACGGGTGCTCGCCCTCAGTGCGAAACACAGTTTCGTAATTAGTTTTATGAATCCATCGTATCATAATAAAAATAATTTCCATACCTTTGCAGAGAAATTTAATTGAATCTATAATATTTCAGTCTTCTTCGCAACAGTCGTATCCACAAAGTTGACAAAATGAAATAGCACAAGCATAAACACGTGAGACAAGATAAGTCGTGGGGCAAGGGGTAAACAAACAAACTTTAATCTCTCCTCCAAGCATATCTTCTCTCGTAGATTCATCCCTATTTTTGCTTTCCGCCAAGTCGGAAACATCTTGTGTAAATCAAAAGCGCGTCAGGAAGCATGGAGATTAGGAAAGAATAAAAAGCTGGGGAAAAAATGTAAAAGCTCGCGGTAGAGGAAACAGCGATCGGCGAAGTTTCGAAAGGGACACGGGAAAGCAACAGCGAGGCAGAACTCGTAGAATAGAAAAAAAGAGGACAGTTAATAGGAGCGGAACAGTGGTGGAAAAAGTTCGTTTCATAAATTCTCGGAACGCGAGCCGAGAATTCGCGGCCGAGGAGTTGAGGATTTATTGGACCGGGGCTCGACGAGAATTATTAAACAAAGGGCAGAGCTGATGGACCGTTAATATCGCGTTAGGTGGCGCCCGTGCGGAGTGCTTATTACAGGCGACCCGGGGATATTAAAAGTTAGGCGTCGCGTTCCCGCGGCGTAATATACAAGCGGAACAGCTGAAAACGGCATGCGCGCCGGCGCCGTTTCGTATTTCACGGATTAATCGGGAACACCTTGCGCCTCCGAAATCACCGCCTCTACTTAACGCATTCGTAACCGCATATAATTACCGAGGGTCTGTAGCTGAACAGCAGTGAGGAGAATTAACGGTTTGCTAGTCGAACGCGTATCGATGAAAAATGTGGAGTGATTATGAACAGATACACGTTTAGCCACGTGTACCACATATGTGAAATATTTTTAAGAAACACACGGTCACGGATAACAGTAAATGTTACGAGGCAGCGAAAACGTAAAGGAACGATATGAAAATAGATGAAAATGAACAAAAACTTGAATATAACTTTATATTTTATTCAGAAAATCAATAGAGTCCGTAAGCAAGATATAACCGAAATATCCGATGACACGGATCGCGTTAAACGGAAACTAGAAGAATTGGAATGGCAGATTTCAGTGTTAAATGAATTCTAGTTTGTTGGAAAATAATCGATGGGAATTAAAATTATAAGTGGAACGACATCAGTTGTAATTATATTTCTATCGATTACAATTGTATCAGTTATAATTGTTTTCGAATAATTTAGAAATATCATCAGTGACCACTATCGTAACGAACGTGTTAATAATAATGTTTTCATAATGGTGTTAAGAACGAGAGTTAAGCAAAGAAATTAATCTTGGAACATAAAACTTTAACACGAGGAGACGACCAACCATCAGCAACAGACATTCATTGCTAGTCTTCTCGAAGCTGGGCATCAATAGCGACCTTAATGATTCGATCAGGGACTGTGGTAGCTATCAATAAGTATTAAATTAAAATATGAAAATTTAGAAGACCAAAAGAAATTTACAATAAAAGTAACAAATAGTCACTACTACCATACAAATGAAAAACAGGGAAACGTCATGAGCTTCCTTAGAGTAGAAACCAAGCGTTTTAGCTCTAAAATTAGAGGACATCTGAATGCTGTGCTCAG